TCCCGCCTGCGCCCGTGACCGGCCGGGTGAGCGCCCCGCAGGGCCCGCGAGACGCCGCGCCCCGCCTGGAGCAGAGCCGAGGCGGGACCTGGCCCCATCCCTAGCTGTACGGTGCTTGGAAGTCGCTTACGCTTGAGCCACCGGGGAAAGGGAGGCGACCGCCCTAGCCCTCGTGGGGATGAGGCGTTGCAGCTCTGTGGACCCACGAGTGACCCCAAGATCCGGCCTGAGAAGAGGCCACTTGTAGGAGGTAGTCGTGTCCGCAGCTGCCCCATGGCCTCCTAGATACACTCTCTGCCCGGCCCTGGGTGGAGGGAGGTCTGACCCCCACATTTTGTGAGCCTTTTGCCTTCTACAGGGAGCATGCGGGCTGTGGTCAGGGTACTTAGGGACATTTCCGGTCATTTCTAGAATGATTGTTTTGGAAGTGCTGACACCCTACCGCAAGACGGGGGTGAGCAGGAGCGGACAGCCCTAGACCGTGCTGGGGCGTTGCTGCCTGGGACAGGAACTTCTTGCTCGCGTGTTCATTCACTCCGTGGATATTTTGTGGGAACTGAACTGAGAATGAAAATTTTGTTGGCAAACAGAAAAGAATTTGAGATCAATCTTCTGGCTGTAATCACAAGCAACTGAGGTCCAGAGACAAGAGGCCAACCTACCCCGAACCCGGTACATTAGAACTTGCCTTCTAGGGCTCTGATTTCACTGCAGAGTATCCTCCCCATTCATTAGAGTTTCATTCGACAGAGGGCATTTTACATGGATCTTTGAAGCATAAATAGCCCAACAAATGCCTGTGGAAGGAAAAATTTATTTCGGTGGTGGTAGGAGGAGTAGCACAAGAAAGGTCGGAGCTGGGCAAGACAGGTGGAAAAGAAGGTGAAATACGTTCTGAACCGAAAGTTTTTTGTTACTGGTATGGTAGTAGAGTCTGACCTGCGCTGACTCGAGCTTGCTGTGTGTGCGCATGCACTGTGGAGGTTACAGTCTCTGCCTATCGCCTCTCTGAGATCCAGGTGTGGTCCGACACCCATGGGCTCTGAGGCTTTGGGCGAAGGCAGGTGGCCTCGCTTTGGTTGGAGGCCAGGGGGCACAGCCAGATGTGGGGGGCAAGGCTGCAGGGGGAGGTGGCTCGGGGCTGAGGAGAGGCGTGGAGATTGGACCTTATCCAGCTGGCCGCGGGGAGCCACGGAAGTTTCTTAAGCAGTAAAGGCAGCTGGAGCAGATGGCTAACGGAAGCCAAAGGCAACGCCCCCATCTGCTTGATAGCCTTCTGCCTGCGTTTGCCCAGCACCAGGGGGCGCTCTACGCCGCCATCTCCCCGGGCGCCCAGCTGGCCAGTGCTGTGGGTTCTGCGGTCCCTGTCACCCAGAGGACGCACTGAGGCTCAGAGAGGTTGTGTGGCTGGCTCAGGGCTGCACAGCTTGTAACTTTTGGAGCTGGGACCACATGTTTCTGGTCCCACATCCCGTGAGTTCTGTCCTCGGTAAGGGGGTTCAGGAGCCAGGCTGGGCTTGAGGGAAGCGAGGGCAAGGACAGGCCATGGAGGCAGGTGGGACTAGGCTGGGGCACGGTGCAGGGGGCGGCCGCGTGGGGCGCAGCCCTGCGTCCCTTGGCTCGGCTGCCGGCTCTGCCCATGCTGGAACACCTGGCCAGTGTGTGTGGGGGTTGTGGCTTTGGGCCCTGCTTTGGTCTCTGCAGTCTCCTGTGACTCTCCTGCTGTGACCCTAACTTCTGTGCAGAGGGGGCAGGGGTCCTGTGTGGTCTGACCCCCCCTCCGCCCTCAGGCCGCATGGAGGCTGCCGGGCACCTACATGGTGGTGCTGAAGGAGGGGACCCACCACGAGCAGACCAAGCACACGGCCCGCCGCCTGCAGGCCAGGGCTGCCCGCCGGGGCTATCTCACCACAGTCCTGCACCTTTTCCACCACCTGATCCCTGGCTTCCTGGTGAAGATGAGCGCAGACCTGCTGGAGCTGGTGAGCCTCCTCCCCGCACTCGCTGGCCCCTCCTTGTCTCAGTGTGTTCTTGTGGAAACCGAGGGGAAACATGGCACAAGGGGTTCCAGCCCAGTGATTTCAGCTTGGGTACAGATGCCTGTGAACCTGGCCACAACCCAGAGTCCTTCCATCTTCATCTGAAAACGATTCTAAGCCTGATCTGGTGGTACATGTCCATAGTTCCAGAAGTTTAGGAGGCTGAGGCAGGAGGCTTGCAAGTTTCAGCCCAGCCTGGGCAATTTAGATCCTGTCTCAAATTTTAAAAGATGGCTAGGGCTGTAGCTTAATGTAAAGGCCCTGGATTCCATCCCCAGTACAAGAGGGTGGGGGTGGGGGAGAAGAATTCCAAGGAGCAGGTAGGACCACAAAGACAACAGGGGTAAGGCTGGGGTCCAGCCCAGGGGTCTGCCTGCGGAAGCACATGAGGACAGGCCTCAGATCATTCCACAAACACAGGACACGGGGAGCACACTTACTCTGAGCTGATGCTCAGGGGTGAGGTTCCTCTCCTGGGTTAGAGTGGCCTCCCTGAGTCACAGGGCCAACAATGGGTGTGGGTCGCTGAGGGCCTCTGCCTCCCTGCTCTCCTCCACCCTAAGCCAGTGCATCCGTGTACATCTTAATAGTCCTTCTTGGTCCTCGGACTTGATGGCAGCACATGGTCATCATTTGCACATTAGTTCTCTGTGTGGCTGTGGACGCTGAGGCCCAGAGTGGGGCAGGGTCTCTTCTGAGGCCACGGCAGCACATACCTGGCAGGGTTCCGCCCTGGACTCCTAGCTCGCCACAGCCCTGCGTGTGCTTTGGCTGAGGGCAGCATCCCATGGCCGAACAACTGTGTGCCAGTCTGTCCTCACAGAGGCAAAGTCCTGGCAGGCGAAGGACCTTGTGGAGGCTGAGGCATCCGGAGATGAGTTGGGCCTCAGGTGGGCTGGGTGAAGAGAGGGCTCTGGCGGCATGCAGAGGAGCCGGTGATGCCCAATTCCTGTTGATGCACCCAGGGCTGAGCTCGGCTAGAAGCCACTGCCAGCCAGGCTGCAGCCCCAGCCCTGTGCTGTGCTCCTGTCCGCCCTGCCCAGCCCCTAGCCCTGCCAGCTTCCCACACTTAGGGGTTCTCGGTGCTGTGCCAAGCGCCTTGTCTGGTAGAGAGGTGAGGACACTGGCTCCTGGTCCTGGTCCTGTCCCCGTCAAGGGCTGCGGAAGGAGCTGCCTGTGGGATATGGGAAGGGACAGGGCTGGGGTCCCAGGGACAGGCTTCAGGGGTGTTGGAGCAGAGTCCCCCGGCTTGTGCAGGCCCTGCGGCTGCCACACGTCGAGTACATCGAGGAAGACTCCTCCGTCTTCGCGCAGAAGGTCCCGTGGAACCTGGAGCGGATCCTCCCTGTGCGGTACCAGGCGGAGGAGTACAGCGCCCCCAGTGAGCGCCCTGGGTTCCCCCCATTGCCCCTCTGGTGCAGTGTCCCCCCCACCCTGCGAGGGACCTGGCTGCCCCCACGGACCCTTCCTTACATCCCTCCCCCCTTGTGCATCCCACCCTGCCTCGCCTTCTCTCAGTCCAGGGAAGTGCAGGCCCTGTTTATTCACCCTCTTCCTGGCTGGGCCTGGTTGCCCTGTCTCCACTGGAGTGGCCTGGCAGGCTGCCCTCACCTGGGGGAGGGACAGAGTCGGATGCCGACCCAGGGTGTCTGTGACTCCCGGCCCTGACCCCAGAGCCATCAGACTGCCATGCTGGTCCCCACTGGCCTTCTGCCCACCCTGTCCCCTGTCCTGCAAGGCCCCCTGTGGAGAGGGACGGAAGGGAAGGACAAGGCGGTGGCTGTGGCAGGAGCTTGCAGGTGGCAGCTAGATTCTAGGGGACTGCACCAAGTCTGAGGGTCCTGTGGCCTGGGGTCCTGTGCACCATGGCCAGAGGTGAACTCGGCTGCCACACCTGAGCTCCTGCCTGGGAGGTCTTGGGAGCCACTTCCCTCTCAGAGCACCTTCTTGTCAGAAGTACACTGGGCTTCTGTGTACGTTGAGTACATCGAGGAGGACTCCGTCTTCTTGCAGAAGGTCCCGTGGAACCTGGAGTTACCACTGAAGCTATCACTCCGTCCTTGTCCTCTGGGGTGGTTGAGGCTCCAGTGGCAGATCAGGACTTCCGTGAGGGTTCGGGGCTTGGAACTGGTGCATCTGACAGTGAGGGCGCCCTTTCCTCCCTTTCCTTGCCCCTGGTGGCTGAAGTGTCCCTGGCTAGCGGCCTGTAACTCTCATCCCTGCCTCTGTCCTCTCTGCTCCGTTGTGAGGACCTGTGACACGGCGTATGGCTGCAGTACCTGGAGATCCCTAACTGGATGACTGCTGCTTGTCCACACAAGGGCACAGCACAGCTCTGGGGGACAGGGTGTGAACATAGCTTGCTGGGGCCACTGCCTGTCCCACCTGCTCCTGCCTGGGAGATGCCGAGGGCTCTGATGTGCAGGGGACAGAGCCCGGGGTGGAGCCCCTGGAGTTGGGGGGTGTTGGCTGGAGGAGGACTTCTGGGAGTGCCGGGCTGCAGTGAGGCGGGTTGGGCACCTTGGGGATAGGTGCTGGGCTGGCTGGGCCCAAAGGCAGACCTTTCATTTGCAGGGTACAAATGTGACTTCAGCACTCTTGAGCTGTGTGACCTTGGACGCAGCTGAGCCTTAGTACCTCTACCAGAGGGAGGCAGTGATAGTCCCTGCAGGGGCTGTCTGGAGGGCTGGAGGACCTGTTGCGGTAGCAGGGCTGAGTGTATGGGGAGGTGCTCTTCTAGCCCGTCTCCTCTCGCATTCAGTGGTAACTTCTAAGCACCACAGTGGTGCTGTGAGACCCCGTTAGTGGGCAGCCTTCCCCGGGCCTCCACTGGCCTGGCTGAGGCTTTCCCTGCGGCCCGAGGCTCCTCTCTCCTCCCTCTGCTTCTTCCAGCCAAGCTGTGTGGCCACCTGCAGGTTCTCCTTGCCTTCTCCTGTGCCCCTCACCTGTCTCACCCAGCAGCCTGCTTCCTGGGGAACCCCCTTTCCTGGGAAACTCTGCTTCTTGGGGAACCTCGCTTCCTGGAGAACCACCCTTCCTGGGACCCCACTTCCCAGGGACCCCCACTTCCTGGGAAGCCCTGTTTCCCAAGGAACCCTGCTTCCTGGGCAGTCCTACTTCCTATGGATCCCACCTCCCAGAGACCCCTATTTCCTGGGGAACTCCCTCATCCAAGAGAAAGAATGAGTGCATGGTAGGCTTTGGGTGGACTGTTCTAACCTGGGTCTGGAGAAAGCGGCCCCTGGGTCCCTCCTGGCACCTGTCAGGAGCGCGTGGCCTCAGCCCCCAGGCCCAGACTGGAGCAGCACCCAAGTCTCCATTTCCTCTGTACAAGGAGCTGGCTGCGCAGGCAGCCCTGCTCGCCTCCTTCCATGCTTCAGCCCAGATCGGTCTCCCTGGGCCGAGCTGGGAAAGGCGGTACCCAGGCTAGTTGCACAGTGTGCTTCTCTCTTCTGAATGCACCTGTCGCCTGTCAGCCACATCAGTGTTTGTGAGCCGGTCACCCTGGCTCCCTTCCCCGCTCCGTCACTTGCCACCGACGTGGCCTCGGACAGGTCCTGCCGGTCCCTGCCGTGCTGTAGGCAGATGTGTGCAGCTGGGCAGCTCTGTGTAAGGTGCCATGAGTTAGCGCGTCTACAGCGTCAGCTCATACGCACAGCCGTAACGCCCGCGTCTGGTGATTCTCTCCTCTCTTCTCTGCGGTGCCGCCGGAAGGTGGAGGCGGCCCGGTGGAGGTGTACCTCTTAGATACCAGCGTCCAGAGCGGCCACCGGGAAATCCAGGGCAGGATCACAGTCACCGACTTTGAGAGTGTGCCTGAGGAGGACGGGACACGCTTCCACAGACAGGTACGCACCCTCTGCCCCCGTCCCTCGGCTCATGGCTGCATCCTTGCTGTCCCGCCCCTCCCCAGCTATCAGCTGCGGGGTGGGGGTGTCTGTCCATCCTGCCCCTTGCAGATATGTCGAGGGGTGGCAGCCTTTCTCATGGCATCCTTGTGTTGGTCGGGCAGGCAAGCAAGTGTGACAGTCACGGCACCCACCTGGCCGGCGTGGTCGGCGGTCGGGATGCGGGTGTGGCCAAGGGCGCCAGCCTGCGCAGCCTGCGTGTGCTCAACTGCCAAGGGAAGGGCACAGTCAGCAGCACCCTCATAGGTGAGTGGGGCCTGGCAGAGAGCGGCTCAAGTCCAGGGAGTCTGGTGTCCCCTGACCGGGGAGCAAAGGGGCCTTGGCCCGGAGTTCCAGAGGGCTAGAGCCGGCAGGGGTCACGAGTGCACGTGGAAACGCTGAGGCTCTGCCGGTCAGAGGCTCAGGGCTGCGGCTTCTGTGTCAGGCTCTTTGCAGGATCCCACACTATTCCCTCTCCAAGTCCTTTCTTTTTCTCTTTCTTTTTTTTTATATACTTTTTCCCAACTCCTTTAAAAGTTCTGCTTTCTTGGAGCTGGATGTGGTGGTGGATGCAAGGCCAATTTGAGGCCAGCCTGGGCTACACAGTGAGTTCAAGGCCAGTCTGAACTGCATAGCGAGACCCTGTCCCAAAAACAAAACAAAACGCAAGTTCTGTCTTCCATCATGCTGTCTTAGATTTGGACAGACCCTGAGGTGATCTTGTCCAGCTTTCTCCATTGCTATTTGCATACCTTTGAAGCCAGGAGACTCACTGCTTGCACAGGGCCCTGTAGCCACTGTGGCTGGGCAGACATTGTGTCACCTCCTTTTAGAGGAGCTGTCAACAGAGTTTTGCCAGCCTCTGCTGGGGGTACCAGGCAGCCTGCTGGGTGGGCACCTGGAGGTTGTGCTGAGAGCTAGGACGTTGACCTGTGGACAGAGAAGAGGGAGGGTGCTTGGCTTATAACAGCCTGCTGTGGCCAGACACCGAGCCAAGGGCTTGTGCACCTCAACCTGGGGCCAGCATGGGGCAGCTGTTAAGCAGCTTAAACTGGCTAGAGAGGGTACCCTGCCCAGGTGACAGTGCTGGAGCTGGTGGCATCACTGGGAAGGCGCTGGCTCCGGGTGGTGGCTGGTCCCCCACAGCGAGCCCCAGGCCTGGGCCAGATCTGTGCAGCCCTTGAAGCTGCGAAGGCCTAGAGGGCCACCTGTGTACCCAGCTCACCCCGGACTCTGCTAGCCTGGGCACCGGGCCTGGGAGGGAGGTGAAGTGTTGTGAAGTCTGAACTGAGGGCTGAATTCTTCCTCTGGACCTCGGTCCTCTCTTTTTAGGCTTCAGCTAGTGAACGAGGCCCATTTGTGTTCTGGTGCCCATTCGCTTAGAGCAGATGAGTCACACAGAAAAGTAGTACATACCCTGGGGCTCGCCACCCTCAGGCGCCACCTCCATGCCTGTGAGGAAGGGGCCGCAGAGGGGAGAGCTCATCTCCGGAGGTAACTTGGCTTTGTCCTCCCAGGCCTGGAGTTCATTCAGAAAAGCCAGCTGGCCCAGCCCGTGGGGCCACTGGTGGTGCTGCTGCCCCTGGCCGGTGGGTACAGCCGCACCCTCAATGCTGCCTGCCACCACCTGGTGAGGGTGGGGGTGGTGCTGGTTGCCGCAGCCGGCAACTTCCGGGACGACGCCTGCCTCTACTCGCCAGCCTCGGCTCCTGAGGTAGGTGCCAGGGTGCTGCCCACAGTGGCCACTGTCCTGGCCTATGTCCCTCGGTCTTCTACATGCCTTCCCCCAGGCTGGGGACCTGGAGCCCTCCTGCCCCGTGGGGGACAGAATGGCACCCCAGCTCTCTCCCGTCCCTGCCTCCTCTCCAGACACTCGGGCACCCTGGGACTTGGCCCAAGCACGGCCAGCCCAGCCCATCGTCCCATTGATGCGATACGCAGCGTCCCCAGCCCGCAGCCCCTGCTGAGACCTTGTCCCTCCTGTGGCACAGGGGCTGGGGGTGCCGGGCCGCAGCCCTCACCTCATCTACAGCGCTGGGCACCTGTAGGCCACTGGGCCGTGTGCACACAGGACCGGGCCCCGGGGGAGTGGGCAGCATGGTGGGGCACCCTGTCCCCACCTGCTTGATGTTCCAGGGCGCCCAGGTGTGAGGGCCCGGGGAGGACTTCCTGGCCGTGCTTGGGGCCTGGCAGGCTGGCAGCTGGCACAGGAGGTGCATTGATCACCCTGTAATTCCGCCCTGTGGGAGACTGAAGTAGAAGGAATTCGTGTTTGCACCCAACCTGGTCCACCTAGCAGCTTGCCGAGACCCAGCCTCCAAATTTAAAAAAGCCTGGTGATGACACTCAGTGCGAAGGGCCTAGGTTCAGCCTCAGGACTGAAGGAGCAAGTGAAAGCCAGCCTAAGACCTGTCACGCCTCTCTGCTTTGCTGCTGTGGCCTCCCCATGGCATTTAGAGCAGGACTAGTTCCCCGTTTGTCGTGTCTCCCTACAAGACTGTGCCCTGCACAGGGACCTCGGGAATGCGCCTGTCTATGGGGGTGGAGCACAGGGTGGGTCAGGGCGGAGGTACCAGAGTTCTCCTGCAGGACTCAGAGTTCCCCCAGCAGGGGACATTTGAGCGGGACCTAGATGGGTGTGTAGGAGTTGGCCAGCATGACTAGCAAGGTCTGTCATCCTTCCTTCACTCCTTTCTCTGCCACCGCCCTCCTCACCTTTCTAGGTCATCACAGTTGGGGCCACCAATGCCCAGGACCAGCCCGTGACCCTAGGGACTTTGGGGACCAACTTTGGCCGCTGTGTGGACCTCTTTGCCCCGGGGGAGGATATTATTGGTGCCTCCAGTGATTGCAGCACCTGCTTTGTGTCACAGAGTGGGACGTCGCAGGCCGCTGCCCATGTGGCAGGTCAGTCACCCCCTGCCCCGGCCACTGTGAGGCTCATGGCCCCAAGGACAGACAGGGTCTGGGGCAGAATGCATGTGTGCAAGCTGCCACGTTACCTGGGTTGTTTCAGCTCAGTTCCTCCCTGGGCCGGAGGAGGAGGCACTGAGCAGAGGAGGGGAAGAGGAGGGGAGGAGGGAGCAACCTGACTTCCTTCCAGGAGGCCCCACCTCCTGACCTCCACCCCCTAGCAGCAGTGCTACAGGTGTGGACCAAGCCTTCAGCAGTAGACCTTTGGAAGACACGGGAGAGCCAGACCATAGCGGCACCCTCAGCAGCACTCAGCTAATGGGGGAGGCAGGCACCTGAACAGGAGCGCAGAGCAGTCAGGGCTCCATCAGTGGGAGCCCAGAGGAGGCACCAGTATGGTGTGAGGGGCAGGGAAGGCTTCTTGGTAGAGGGACACTTGATCTAGGCTTTGAGGGGTGAATAGGAGTTCATTTGGTAAACATCAGGGCCCAGCAGGAGGAGAGTGGGATGTCTTAGTCGCTGGCTTTGCTTTGGCAAGGCATCAAAGGTGGCTTCCCTCCTGAAGAGCAGTGCAGTACGCTGGAGGCCTTGGTTAGGAGGGGGGCCACGCTACCATCAACTCTGACCATCCCATCCCGCCCCAGGCATTGTGGCCATGATGCTGACGGCCGAGCCGGACCTCACGCTGGCTGAGCTGCGGCAGAGACTGATCCACTTCTCTGCCAAAGATGTCATCAATGAGTCCTGGTTCCCTGAGGACCAGCGAGTGCTGACACCCAACCTGGTAGCCAGGCTGCCCCCCAGCACCCACGGAGCAGGTGAGCAGGGTAGCAGGGTGGCCAGTGGGCGGGGTCACCAGTCGCCCTGGGAAGCCCTGTCCCCGGCAGGAGCTGAGCCCTGCAAGGGCCCCTGGGGGCAGCCCACTGGGTTCCTCCTCACCGGGGGCCTGTTGCAGGGAGACGGCTGCTCTGCAGGACAGTGTGGTCAGCACATTCGGGGCCCACACGCACGGCCACTGCCCTGGCCCACTGCGCCCCCGGTGAGGAGCTGCTGAGCTGCTCCAGTTTCTCCCGGAGCGGGAAGCGGCGGGGCGAACGCATCGAGGTGACCTGCCCTGTGTGTGTGCGCGGGGTGGACTCCTGCCCAGGGCTCTGGGTGCCGTGAGGGGCCTGCGGGGGGGGAGCTACGCCCATGTCCCAGGGATGCCACGGGACGGAGGTGCCTGCCTGGCCCAGGGCAGCCTGGATGCGGCCCTTGGGGTTGGGTGGTGGCGGTGCAGGACCAGCCCTTGTGCCCCAGTTCTGGATCCTCCTCGTCTTGGTATCTGGGAGAACTTCAGGAAACCCAGAGCTGCCCACTGTCAGAAGTGTGCCAGGCAGGCAGGCTCGGGCTCCCGGTCCCCAGAGGGCTGGGAGCAGGGCGCTGAGGAGGGCCCAGGGACCTCTGTGGCCCTGCATCCTGGTAAAGCAGGTTCTGGCCTCTGTCTCTGGCCACAGGCCCTCAGGGGCAGGCGAGTGTGCTTGGCCCACAACGCGTTTGGGGGTGAGGGCGTCTATGCTGTCGCCAGGTGCTGCCTGCTGCCCCAGGCCAACTGCAGCATTCATACCGCTCCAGCCGGGGCTGGAATGGAGCCCCGCGTTCACTGCCACCAGCAGGACGAGGTCCTCACAGGTAGGAGGCCAGCCCTGCTCCTGACACCCCTGGCCCAGCAGGCATGGTGTTACACGGGGGTGTGTACCATGTGTGCCCATTGCAAGGCCAGGGTTTGCACTTCCACACCAGGGGCCCTGGTGCTTGGTTTTGTTTTTCTGTTTTGGCTTCCTTTTGCCTACAGTGAGGGAACACCCTCCTTGGGTGGTGGCAGAGTGGGGACACCTAGAACAAAGCCTGGGGTGCTGGATGGGCCTCACCGGGGTAAACAGGAATGAGGGGCTCCAAGGCCAGGTCCATAGTGGGGCAGAACTTAGGCAGGAGCCACTCCGCTCCTCAGCAGATGGGCATGCTGCTTACCAGGTCTTTGCCTCGGTTGTCCTGTCTGTGAAATGGGGGGGTGCTGTACATTCTAGCTGTCATTATTGTCATCAGTTACTACTTTAGAAACTGTTTCCTTGTCTGAAGGGGCCACTCTGTCAAAAGTGAGTCCCAACAGGTGGCGGGAAATCTCTCCTGCAGGGAGCAGGGTGGTGGCGCTCAGGTGGCTGGAGGCTGGGCTGCCCCGGGTTGGTGGAGTGAGAGTGTCCGGAGGGTTTGGAGACAGCAGGAAACCGTGAAAGGATTAGGGACCGAGGTGCAGCAAAGGGCCTGGCAGAGCCGGCTGGTGTGCTGGCCGGGCTTGAGTAGAGAGAGGAGCCAGGCAGGCGGCTGGTGCCCTTGGCCAGGTCGGGTTTGCACGGCACCCCACCTGCTTCTGTATCAGCGTCTCGGCCCATTGAGCATGCCCGGCAGAAGGTCAGGGCCTGGGCCACCTTGAAGTGAGAGCTGTGGGTGGCATGCCTGTAGGCACCGCCTGAGGCGTTGTTCTGCAGCCAGGGGCCTTGGCCTGGGTGGCTTTCCCAAGGCCACGAGAGCACGGGTAGCCACGGCCCTAAGATGGGTCATGGACTGCTGAGACTTCATGTGCACGCCTGTGTTTCATTGTCGCAGTGTCCCTGTGGGCAGTGATGTCACTCTCACTGTTTCACAGAGAGGGAAACTGAGGCTTGGCCAGCTTCGTGACCACTGCCCATGGTTTCCCACTGCTGGGTGTGTCCGACTTCGGGCCCATGAGAGGAGTGCCCAGGTGCCGGGTGCGTGCCTGAATTCTGGCCGTGGCTAGATGGCGTAGGGGTCTGGGAGGCTTTGAGTCTCAGGCCTGGGACCCCTGTCCCATGGCTCCTATCTCTGAGTGGCGAGGAGACCATGTTTGTACTGAGAACTGAGGTTCAGAGAGGTTGAATGCTTTCCTAAGCAACTGCTGTCACACAGCAGGTTGTCGGCAGAGTGGAGGTGAGAACCAGGGATCCTGCTGTGCAGGCCAGCTTCTTTCCTATGTGAGCTGTCCCTGGGTGTCCCCAGCCTCAGGCCTTAAATTGTGGGATCAGGAAGAGGGTCCCCGTGATGGAGCTGTTCCTTCTCTACCCAGGCTGCAGCACCCACTGGGAGGCTGAGGATTTTGGCGCCCACAGGTGGCCTGTGCCAAGGCCAGGTGGGCCTGGCCAATGTGTGGGCCACAAGGAGGCCAGCATACATGCGTCCTGCTGCCAGGCCCCGGGCCTGGAGTGCAGAGTCAGGGAGCACGGGGTCCCGTGGCCTGTGGAGCAGGTAAGGAGCTGGCCAGATGCATGCGACTGTTCCTTAGCTTTGGGTCCGCGTGTGTGCCACTGCCGCATTGTCACGTGTTGGGGCTGGTGTTGGGTGCAGGCCATGTTTGTGGTGGTGCAGCTGGGCTCCACCGCCCTTAGAGAACATGGTAAACGTGGTGTGTGGAAACGCCACACGTGCTTCCACGGCCTGCTGGAAGGGGGCCGAGGGCCAGGAGCTCAGCTGCACCGAGGAGGCAGAGGTGACCCAGCCGTGCCCGGGGGAGGGGGTACTGGTGCCAGGCTGCAGGATGAGGGCAGGAAGGCCTGGCCTGGGGGCACAGATGCAGGTGGAGGTGGAGTGGGTGAGGCCGGCGACCTCACTTGCAGCCTGGAGCCCCAGGGTGCACTTGCAGGGTTCATGAGTGCTTGCTCCCTGCTGGGGGCTGAGGGCAGACCCGACTCAGAGCCGGTGTGTGGGCACCTGGTCCCGTGTCCCAGTGCCCTGCAGGTTCTGGGGCACTGAAAAGATACCACGGAGGACGGCAGAGCAGGGAAGGGAGTGGGCGGGAGGTCAGGAAGGGTCTCACTTGCACAGTTGGGATGGCAAGCCAGGGGGACGTCCCAGGGAACACTGCTCGGGCAGACGAAGTAGCTGCACAAAGGTGGGAACCTTGGGGATGCACAGTGGTGGACATCTGTCATTCCAGCCTCTGGGAGGCTGAAGCAGGAGGATGACATGTGTGAGCACAGCCTGCACAACTTAGCAGCTCAGTGAGACCCTGTCTCACATAAAAAGAGAAAGGGCTGCGGATGCAACTCAGCATGGAGGCCCTGGGCTCAATCCCCAGACTGCGAACAGGAGGCCCGAGAAGGGGGAGTGATCAGGAAGGAGGGGTGGGCCTAGTGAGGGGCTAAGCCAGGTCAGTAGGCCACAGGCCGGCCGGACTCTGGGCTTGCTGGGTGGGTTGGAGCCTGGGGCGAGGGTGGGGCACGAGCAGGCGCGCTGAGCTGAGGCTGCAGGGGAGCCGGGGCAGCAGGGGGAGCAGCAGTGCTCCTGTGCTGGTGCGGGCGGCCCAGGATGTGAAGGAGGCGCTGGGACGCGGTGGGCGGGCGGAGGAGGCGTGGCTGGGCCAGCTGAGTGGCAGGGGCTGGTGTGTGAGGCGAGGCATTGGGAGCACATCAGCGTGGTTGGTGTTGGGTGTGGGCCACCAGGTGTGAGCTGCAGAGCGCATCCCGTGGCCGAGAGCGAGGGGTTCACACTGTGGCCCTGGGCTTGCTGCGAGGAGAAGGCCCGGCAGTGTAGCCATGTGCTCTTTCCTCCCATGCTGTCAGGTCACGGTGGCCTGTGAAGATGGCTGGACCCTGACGGGCTGCAGCGCCCTCCCTGGGACCGCCTTGGTCCTTGGGGCCTACGCCGTGGACAACACGTGTGTGGTGAGGAGCCGTGACGTCAAGGTGGCAGGCAGGACCAGCGAGGAGGCCGTGGCAGCTGCTGCCATCTGCTGCCGGAGCTGGGCCTCGGAGCAGGCCTTCTGGGAGCACCAGTGACAGCCCGGTTGGGATGGGGGCCTGTGTAGGGCCAGGGTCTGGGCCTGCAGGGACAGACTCCTTGCCTGGGAGGACTTCGGTCTCACACCGTGACGGGCTGCAGCTTGGTGCTACCCTCACACCCCCACCTCCACCTCCACAGCACAGCAAGGAAGCTGGGCTCTGCCTGCCAGCAGCCGAGGTGCCGCCCACGGCAGATGACGTGCCTGTGTCTGAGCTCTTGCCCTGTGCCAGGCACTGGGTCAGTCTCCCCAGAGGAGGGAGGATGTGGGGTACGGAAGGAGCTGAGTGTCAGGCTGGGGATGGGAGGGTGAGGGAGCTGGTGGCCTTCCACTGGCCTGCCCACTTTGGAGAAGCCCCTTTGGGATCCTTGGTTAATGGGGGATCTGTTTTCCATACCCCTGGGGTAAGGGCAGGGATGAGATCCTTGCCTGTTTCTCCCAGCTGCCCTCACTCTGCTCCCCGTCAGTAGCACTGGCACCCTGCTTTATGGAGGAAGATACAGGGGCTAGAGAGGGGCAGTGCCCCCCGCACATGCCATGGAAAGGGGGACAGGCTGGGACGAGACCCGGAGTGGCCTGGTGAGAAGCCAAGCCTCCACTGTGCCAGGCTGGGCACTGGCCCGCAGGTCGCATGGGACCCAGCTTGCTCTTGATGGCCCGGTGGGCCGCAGAAGGGGGTGACTGTCTCCCCAACACAAGTATGTGTCTCCCCTAGGTCTCCTCTCTGCTGCCTTTTTATACCAAGAAGCTTTTCCCAGACCTGTTTGGCTTTTGTAACTTGGTATTTATTCTGGGTTTTGTAGTGTTTTTATGATGTGACTTTTTAAAATAAAAGTAACTTTGTCATGACCCAGCCTCGACCTGCCTGCCTGGGATGCAGTCGTGTAGCATGGAGCAGTGGGAGGGGTGACAGGCCTTCGGGCAGTGCTGGCACAGGAACCTGCTGCCCGGCACTGCCTAGGGATGCAGCGAGCCTCCGCCCAGCTTTCGGGGACCAGTGCTGGGTGCATCAACCCCGGGGTGCCCTCCCACCCTCTCCCTGCAGCAGCCCCAGGCCTGCAGAGTGGGTCTGTGGGATCAGTCAGCGCAGCGGGGCTTCCATAAGGGCCAGGACCTGTCCACCACTGCCATGTGTGGACAGGAGTCATCTCAGACTATCCGACTTGGAGTGGGACCTCCTGGCTCCTTGCTGGGGCTGGAGTGTATGTCCCAAGCAAGGTCTGTCTCTCCAGAGCCCATGTCATGTACAAGGGATCTGTCACAGTTCTTGTTTTCTAACAGTTCAGTGCCAGGCAGGGAATGTGCTCATGGCCCTCAGGCCCCACACCTGCCGTGCCACCCAGACCCCTGCCCTCCCTGGAGACGCTGCTTCACCTGCCCGTTAGGATACCCACATCTCAACAGCTGTCACTTAGGGGGGACAACTTGGTTCTTGTAGATGGGTGGCAGGTGTCACCAGCCAGCGGGGCGGGGGGCCTGGCCTGCAGGTGGAGGCAGGCCTGGACTAGCACGTGGGAGGTCGGGACCCACATGAACAAAGCACAGGCTCAGGGACCCAGGGACCCAGGGCAGGACTTAGGGTGGGGATGCCGCTTCGGGAGCCAGAAGCGGTACGAGAGACGTCTGCAGGCTGGGACCCTGAGGTCCGCATCTTCGTCCACACTCTGTCAGGGAGCCCTGAACTGTGACCAATGAAGGCTCAGGAGACCCACAGCCCCGCGGAGAAGCATAGAACCAGCCGGTGCCAGGCCTCAGGCCCACTGTGCCCCCACCATGGGCCAAATTCTTACACTTGGAGAAAAATGTTGGTGAGACTCCAACTCTACATTTTTGAAAAATTTATTTTGTACTTTGAGAAGCTAAGAACTCTGCCACGCATGAACCAAATTTAGAGTTAAGTCTTTCCTAGTTTATCTATTTTCTTTTGAAATTTTATAAACAAGATTTTTGTACACAAAGAGGTAGCAGAGGACAATTCCAGTCTGCTTGTTCCAAGCTCAAAAGGGACTGCACACGCCTTGACGTCCGCAGAGAGGCCAGGCCGGGCCAGGCCGAGGGCTTGGCGCTCTAGGTCCTGGGACTCATGCTAGTTGCCAGTGGCTGCTGCATGAGCCCACCAGAGCGTCGTGGGCGAGCTGCCCCGGGATGCCCAGAATGGCCTTCACCGCACAGCTTCGACAACACAGAGCACTGAGTCCTTTGTGCAATTCCTGCTCAATTTGCAGACCATTGTGAAAGATTATAAAAACATCTTCATCCAAAAAATTGGCAGTAAAAATGATAACTTTTCCAAGGCAAGCCTGTCACAATTGTCACTTTGTGGTACTACATTAAAAAAAGTCCTCAGCAGGTTCATTGACTGCAGCTGTTAGAAATCAAGTGGTTACTGGCATAGTGGAACTGATGCTCACTGCACCACCCTAAGGATATGAACCGAAGCTGGAGTGAGGCGACCCTGATGCAGCTTTGCATGAGTAGCAGGGCCAGGGCAGGAAGCGTTTCCATAGGAAATAAGGGACTAGAAGTGGTGATTTCACTCCTGATTTGGGGCTCCTGAGAGTGCAGTTGCCAGCGAGGATATTCCAACACATATCCTCGCCAGCATTTCATAGTCCTACACAATCTTTACATGAAGATGGGTATGGACAGGTGAGGGTCGGAGGGGCATACAGCAGGATACGGGATATTCGAAACATCACATTCAGAACTGCAAGAACACCAGAACCGTGTCAAATGTGCCGCCTGCCTAGGTCTGTTTCTCTGGCTCCTTCACCTTCCCAGGTTTCTGACAAAAGCCGTCAGCAGCCTGTGCTGTTCCGGAGGACAGACCGAAGTCTGACCGCACCGGCACTGCCACAGCTGAACAGGCAAGGGAAGAAGGGCTGTGAGTGCACAGCACTGAAGCTGCCTGCCTGTCACGTCCCCACAAACGCAAACACAACCAAAAAGGCACTTGGGGGCTGGCTGCGCCTCTCTGACTTCCAAGTTCAGCAGTGGCACCCTGGCACCTCCTAAGGCTCCCCAGTTCTGCATGCAGTGAGGTGAAAATAAGGCAGAACTTGTAACTAGAGGCAAAACAGGACAAACAAGGTATGACCAACTCAAGATACAGAATGTTCCAAATACAGGAGCATCGCTGTGGTCCCCACCCCGCCCCAGAAGGGAGCTGGTGCCCAGCTGAACCAACGGAGTGACGTTACATGGAAAGTGCTGCTCTGGGTGGTGGGCATCTCTCTCCAGGGACTTCCGGGAAGCTGCCCACCTGCTTTTTCAGTACTGACGAGTCATGGTTAAGAGAAGCAAAGTCTTCAATCCCTTTGTGCACTAAAAAGATCGTGAAACTCCTGAAGCAGCACCCTCCAGTTCAGACACCTAACTTGATGTATGACCACTACCAAGGGCTTCGCAAATTACGTTTTTAGTAAAAGCAAATGATTGCAGATCACATGACTTAAGACTACAGTTTATTCAATATGTCTCCAAGCATTAAAAAGATACTTTTATGAAGTCAAACTCAGTAAAATTATAACTTAAAGTGCTTATTTTGTTATTTTTAGAATTTGTTTTGGGAACCACTCGTAACTTCTTTAATGACTGATGTCAAAGAATGCATCCTGTACGTCTGGAGAACACAGCTTTTTTGTTTTATTGCTCTTTTCAATCTTAATCATATCAGAAAATACCTTAAAGAGCTTAATAATTTCCCAATTTTTGATCCTGGTAACATTTTGTCAATATTTAAGCTTATGCCCAGGGCTCTCAGTCAGACCCATCAGAAATTCTATACAAGTAGGGAGACATATTAAATACAAAGGTCTGTGTAAACCGAATTCTTTAACTACTATTTTACAATGAAAAGGAATTTTACCACATAACTTTACATCATTTAAATTGGATATTCCTATTCAATGTTACTGCAAGATTAAAAATTTGCCCCCACAAACCTAAAGGCAGCTTGCTATTTTTTTCTCAGAATATAAAAAGCAAAGGGAATTTTTTTGTTGTATCCTGGAGAAAACAACAGCTTTCCCCACTCTTGCGTGTTCATGTAACAAAAGTCTGCCGCCACTTTACTTCCTAAAATCGCCACAGAAGCGTCCATTCATCTGCACGGGGACTGTGCCTTGGGACAGCTGGCCACACACTGGTCGCCTCCTGGCCGCCTTGCAGCCAGGGCAGCCTCCTCGAGGACACGGCCCCCAGAGTCTGCAGCCTCCTGGCCTGTCCCAGGCTCCAACAAGGGTTTCAAGGGTCAGATTCTGTTTCCAGAAGGTGCTGACGTCCAGCTTTGCCGGGTGCTGGGTACATCCCTCTAAGGATCGACATCATCAAGGTCACTTCTGAGCTCACCAATCATCATGGGAGATTCTGAGCCCTGTGGAAAAGAACAAGTGAAAGTCTGTGCCATTAAACTGGGGGAAAATTTTCTATAGACTTCCTGTTTATGCTGTGTAAGTTAAATATGTCCTCATGGGCAACTTCATTGCTTCCTAATGGACACTAAAACACAGAGGTAGGTATTATACCTTCCACTTGACAATATGTGATTCTCAGGAGCACTCTGATGTCTATGTCACTTAGTCTCTGAGGTAACCCAGTGCCCCTCACTTGGTGGCACTGTTCTCCTCGGGCCCACAAGCCGTCTCTTCTTAGAACCCTGAGGAGCAGTGGGACAAAGCCAAGGCGAGACCAGCTGCTACTGCCATGTGCTGGGCACTTCGCCCGCACATGTGCGCTAGGTCATTCTCCATTCTGCATGCTGTCTTTGTCATCAATGGCGCTGGCCTCTAGTTTATGTGCTCAAAAGTTCCAAAGACGTGGCACGTTTCCGGGAGCAGGCTGAGTGGTGGTGGGAACGGAGGAGAAGGGGACAACCTCTTGTCAGTGACACGCAGGGGGAGTCAGATGGAGTGAATGGGAAGGGCTGAAGGAGGAAGAACATGGTGTATTTGGCGAACTAAAACCACCAACTGCTGGGCGAGGTATGCTGGGGCCAAATCAAGTAGGACCATATAGAGGTTCTGGCCTCTATCTAGCAGCAGAGGCAAGTTACGACAGGCTTTGGCTAGTGGTCAACAGCGGCAAATGTGCAGGCAGGCGGCTTCCCCAAAGCCCCAAAGACTAAGATGCTCAGCACACATGGAGAGATGTGTGCAGTGAAGGCTGTGTGGAAGTCTGTGGTGTGTATGGGAGCCGGCTAGGACACCCCTGAGCACCCTGGCTTGCACTGGTACACGGGTGTTGAGGGAGGTGAGGTGGGCTTTGCTGTGGAGGCGGCTTCCAGATGCAGCAGGCAGAGCTGTCAGGAATAAGAGTGCTAGATGTGCGCGTCTGGCGCTCAGGAGCTTGGCTGCAGGTGTGGATGAAGGCATGGAGCAGGAGCAGAAGCAGAAGATGGAGGACAGAGACCTGCGGGACATCTACTGGGGACCTGGAGGAGGCTGAGGTGTCAGGACAGGACAGGAAGGGAGTGTCTGATGGAGGCAGGAGTAGCTAGCAGCATCAGCGTGGGTCCCTTGCTACCCCAACTTCGGGTGAGAGAAGACAGCAGGAGTCAGGCTGGACAGCGGAAGAATGAGGACGCGGGGACAGCGCAGGTGATTCTAAGAGGAGTGGGTGGGGGTAAGAGGAAGAAACCTTTTTTAAGGGGATGGAAGGGAACTGTGTTGGAACACTGCTAGGAAGGAGGACAAAGAGGGAGAGTTCAAGATGCATGGAGGAGAGAAAAATAAAGGGCGGAGGCTTATGGTGGGAGGAGAGGACATGGGGCAGAGCAGATGCTGCGGCTACACATCTGGACACCAGTGGCCGTGGAAGCTCCTGTTCAGCAACTTTCAGCTCTGCAAATAA